TCTATTAGATCATGTTGGTGATAGTGGACATGGCAAAAACCTAGCCCATGGAGATTTTAGACAGGAATATAAGGACATTTTCATCATTTTACCAAATAGTAATGTGGTAAAACTTCATTCTTAATATGTATATTTATATCCCTATAGATGTATTTTCTCATTTTTAATAAAAATGAATTTCACTTAAGAAGGTAGTGATGAATGCAGAGACATAACTGTTGGAAATGCATGAATAATGGACTGAGAGCTCTTAGATTGACACATTTCATGTGTATTCATGTCTATTCTTTGTGATAAATGGAAAGTAGTGAAAGAGGGAATAGAAATGATATTAGAGCCAGACGATGGAGAGGAGTGCTGAGAAATGCAAAGTCCCCAATGCATTATTGGAAATCTGTGGCTTCTGAGTGAGGGAAAGTCACTTTACGTTGTGCGGATGGCCACTGGTAGGTTTGTGAAGCTCCAGTCAATAACCACAAACATACGTGATTATGAACAGCAGTATGGACTCAATTGTTTAAAGATAATAAAAGTTTAAAATGTGTGATGTTGGGATAAAGATGTGTTAAGGAGGAAGGGTTCCAGATAAAATGGGTAGTGTGCTTCCAGGGTCAATACGATGAATGTACACTGTAGAAATATAGGTAAGTGTTCTACAGGAACTGTAAATATCTTAAAGAATGTATTACTAATAGAAGAATGGTTCTCAGATAGTGCCTTAGATTCACCTCTTGTTAAAAAAAAAGTGTGCAAAACAAAGATTACTCAACCAATACTAAACCAGAATTTAAAAAATATCCTCTGATGCTGAAGATAGTCCACAAATGTAAATATGGGAACCACTGTCGCAAAATACTGAAAACTAAACGGCATAATGAATACACTATTCCACTATTTTCAGCAAACTCATGCACTCTTTTTGGAGGTATTTTGCTTATTTGCATCTATCTGAGATACAGGGTGGAGATCCCAATCAGAAGGTGTTCTACTCTCTGCAGCAGAAGTTACCCAGCAAAACTCCCTTTAAATAAAATATTGCATTTCCTTTTTCCTACATTGCAGTGTTTTTGCTCATGTCTTAGCTAACTTTTTTTCTTTTACTGTGATAAAACATCATGGCCAAAACAAGTTGTATAAGAAAGCATTTAATTTAGGACTTAAGATTCAGAGTGTTAGAATCTATGACCTTGGTGTTGGAGAAGGTGACAGCAGGCAGCTGCCACTGAAATGAATTTGCAATTGAAATGCAACCACAATGCAGAGACAGAAAAAGACAATGGGAATAGTGGGATGTTATAAAACCTCAAATTCCACCTCCACTGAAACATTCCCTTTTATGGGATTACATCTCCTAATCTTCAACAAACAAGTCTTCCAACTGGGGAAAAGAGTATTCAAATCTATGAACCTATTAAGGTCATTCTCATTCATACTACCATGATTTCTTATTTGATTCTGACAAAAGTAGATATTAATGTATATCAACAAAATGCAATAGTCATAATAAATTCCTGTCACCACCAACACGGATGCTTATACAGCTCTATTACAAAGCAGATCATAGCTCTTATATCATTATTCATATTACTTATTTTGCTATTACATGAGGGTTATAAACTATGCATGTATTTTCTCTTAGTGTCACTAAGTGATTTACTCTTAGTTTACAAAGGTGAGGTGATGAATAAAGCTCACACAGATGCTTTCACAAGTGTGTCTCTGTTGTGTGCCCTTAGATTGAAGGATTTGTAGTCAGTACTCCAGGAGTAGGGTGTGAATATATAACTTTATTTCTTATGATCTTGATGTTCATACATTTAGGCATTCATTCAGATCAACATGATTATCTCCTTTGTTGCTAGAAATTATCACCATAATAAAGCTACAGGGTTTTGCATTGTTTTCAAAGTAGATAATTTCCTGAAAAAATAAACATTGTATAAAAACAATAGATTAAAAATAAGAACTGCACTCAGAAACCTGAAGACTTGTTTCTGCTATCTATAGCTGCAAAGTTTGATACTCATATTTGATATTATTAACAATCAAATGCTGGTTTGCAAGTCATTATTTTCATTAAGTAATGTGCAGTACATTTTGGCTCCCTCCAAAAGAAATAAATTACAGGACATTGCATGGGATGTGGATAAGTAGAAATAAAAAGAAAAGCTACTTTTTAGATTTTATGTTGATTTATAGAAAAATATGGTGTAACCTCCCAATAATAATACCCTGAATAAAAGAAGGATGAGAAAAAACATAATGACGTGGGGAAATTTATAGATATATAAAAATATCTAAAAGTGGTATTAGAAGAAAATTGTGAATTATCAAGAGCTGATTTAGTGAAATATTAAAAAGTGGATTCATACACATAGCTTAGCTGTTTCTTGGCAAGAAATAGTTATGACATTGTTGTTATGTATAGTTTTTAATAAAACTAGATAAATTATCAGCATATTTCAGTAGTCACTTTTTTATTTCTACTTAAATGTTTACATTTTTATTTTTCAGAATTCTATAAATTGTTACATCCAAGTACAATCATATCTACCACAAAATTCTTTCCAATTTAATGTACACTTTTTTGGAGGATGTACTGAATCCAGTTAATTCCACATTCTCCAAAATGAAGGATTCTGCCTCCTCCAAAATCTACACACTCCCAACAACTCCTATATAAGAAGTTTGACCTTGAGATTGTGCACTTGATCTGTGCAAGTTGTTTGGCAGCCTTGTTCTTGTGAAGGTGGCCACAGTCACAGGGTGTTCATGAATTCCATTCTTTTCTCCTTGTCTTCTGCCATGTTCACTGACTGAGCCTTGGTGTCGTGGTGACTATAGGTGTCTCATTTAGGAATGAGAACTCAATCTTTTATTCTCAGCACTTTTCCAGTTATGACTTTCTCCATTGACTACTGCCTGCATCGAAAGAAATTCTCTGACCATGGGTGAAAGCACCCCAGGTCTAAGGATAAAAGTACAAATATGTATAAGACAATCAGCATGGACATTTAAAAATAACAGCAGCAGGTTTTAACCTAGGGTTTATGTTGTTCACATCCATGAGATCAGGATTACGTTATCAGTCATTAAATTCTCTTATGTAGAAAAGTCTCAAAGTCATCCGAGAAGTGACATTATTTCTTAGGACTTTTCAAACTATTGCATCAGTTGGTATATCTTGCCTAGCATGCTGGTCCTGCTCATACAGAATGTAGCACATGATAAGATGATTAATGCATTCCACTGCCCAGTAGCCTGCCCAAAACCTCCCAGCAGTATGGAGTGAGAAGTGAGTATGAATGAGGTTAATTTTATGGAACTCCAAAATAATCAATAAAATATTACGTTGGAAAAATATAATTACATATTTTTCTTCTTCCCTTTCTTTATTAAGAAAAGCTTTCATTTTTTCTGGCAATTTTTTTTAAAAACTTTCCAAATATGAATTTGAGCTTTTAGTTTCTTTCTGTGTATTTAGTTTTGTGAGTTCTGTCACGTTAGAAGTTAATTTTCATTGGGGAATGGAGAGATACTTTGTATTGACATTAACTTGAGGCACTTCTTTCTCATTGTTTATATTTAATTTGGCATCCAAAGATTAGACAAATATGTCAGTATTTCCTGGACCCCTGTTTATTTTCCATAGCTTTTAACATAAAGACAGACTTATCTACTTCTCTATGCTATCTCTCTTTGTTAGCCTCATACTCACACCTATCTTTTCATACACTTAAATCAGGACTGAAAGACAGCATTAGTATTAATATACAAAATATATTCAGTAAAAATATAATAAGAAATTATAAATATGTAATTATTTAAAAATCTACCTGTAGATTCTTAGTGGAATTTTTTAGTATTTTGACTAATAAAAGCTGTTTCTAATGCATTTTCTATGACCAGATTATAATAAATTATTTCATTTTAATTGAGGATTTTATACACTCATATAATATGCTTTGAGTAAAACATCTTAATTTCATATGTTTCAATATCCCCATATAAATACATCACTTTCCTACCCCTAGGGTACACACTCTTTGTTACTTAAATGACTTTTCTCCACTTAGTGCTCCTTTGTATGTGTGTGAATGTATTACCATATACAGGCACATTGTTAACTTCTTCAATCACATCTGAATGACAAAAACTGGACATGGACACGATGCCACCGTTCAGTCCAATGCAAAGACGTGTTGTTAATTATTCAAGAATTAAATATTCATGTAACAGAGCAAAGAGCTGAAATGGTATGTTTTTGGCATCATATTTAATTTGGCATCTATGTTTTCCCTAAATCCATGGCATTTATAAATAAAACCAGTTCCTGGGAGGAAATTTTTTGGTAGAATCAAATGACACTTACCTATATCTTGTTATAAATCTTCCTACATATTTGAAAAATATGAAATGTTATATTTTAATTCCCTAATGTAGCAACTGATAACCTAGGACTGAAACCAATTTCACTGTTCATTTTAAGTCTTTATGAATCTGAACTAACTGATATTTTAATGTAAAATTGTATTAATAAAGATACATTATAATAGATATCCTTACTATGATAGATAGATAGATTCTCAGTACATATCTAGCAAGTTGATAAGAATCTAAGTAATAATATGAAATTCTCGGGCCACCAAAAAAATCATACTATCACATAGATGCAGTTTTATTTCAGTGGCATTTATACCAAGTCCAGTTTAACAACTGTAACTACTTTTGAGAAAAAAAATACAATAATATCTGTAATTTCAGGTAGTCTTTCTGTATATTGTGGAAAAAGTAACTGCTCTAAGAACTAAGGTAATATAGATAGAGCTTAATCCAGACCATACAACATAAACAAAATTGAGCATGAGTTGAAGTATGCCAAGTCATCATCACACACTGAAGTCATTTTAGACACTACAGGAAAGGGGAAAAGATTTTTTCACTAGATTTCTACTTAATTTGAATTTCTCTAAAATGCCACATGGATACCACAGGATAAATCACACTAGATAAGTGATTCTACCAGCAAGTTTCCCCAGTGCTTTCTTCATTTCCCTGTTTCGTAGACTATAGATAAATGGGTTCAGCAATGGAGGAACTACACTGTACATCATGGAAGCCATTGCTGTGTTTCTGAGAGAATCTGTCACTGCAGAACTGATGTACACACCAAATCCTGTCCCATAGAACAAGGAAACAACAGACAGATGTGATGCACATGTGGAAAAGGCTCTGTGCTTTCCTGCAGAAGTTGGCATTCTCAAGACCGAGGACACGATGTAAACATATGAAAAAATAATTCCACAGACAGGACCACCCCCAAAGAAAAAAGCTGCAGTAAAAATCAGGAAATTATTAAGAAATGTATCAGAACAGGCAAGCTTGATAATCTGTGCAAGCTCACAGAAAAAGTGGGGGATTTCTAGTTCTGTGCAAAAGGAAAGACGCAGGACCATCAGACTGTGGAGCAGGGCATCCATAATGCTAAGAAAGAGGGAGAGTAGAACCATCAGGACACAGTGAAAGGAGTTCATGATGACTGTGTACCTTAGGGGTTTGCAAATGGCCACATAGCGGTCATAGGCCATTACTGCCAGTAGAAAATTCTCCATTCCACCAAAAATTGAAACAAAGCATATTTGAGAGAGACATTCTATGTAACTTATGCTGTTGTCCTGCTCTTGAATGTTCACCAGCATTTTAGGGATTGTGACTGTACTATAACAAATGTCGTTAATGGACAGAATCGAGAGGAAGAGGTACATGGGAGTGTGCAGTTGGGAGCCAGAGCTGATGGCCGTGATGATAAGCAGGTTTCCCAGAACTGTGATCAGATACATGAAGAGGAACATGGTGAAGATGAGGGGCAGAAGTTTGTGATTGTCTGTCAGGCCGAGCAGATGGAATTCTGAAAGTGCTGTTTGGTTTTTCAGTTCCATTATTTTTGTGGGAACTTTGAAACGAATAAAGTAAAAAAAAAATTGAATTCAAAAGCATCTGTGTCAGAATCACTTAAGTACCTGTTAGAATAGCCTTAGAATAGCACTGGGTATAGTAATATTCTATTGATAGAAACCAATATTCTCTCTTTTTACCTACCTCATATATAATAATCTTAATGTTTAAAGTACTCCAAAGTCTTCTTCCACAGTATAAAAAATTGGGAAAATACTGTAATATATTAAGAGAGATATGTGTTAAGAAAGAAAATATTTTTGAATGGATAAAAATCATACCTCTGGTTGTTCGGAATATGAAACCCGGTAAATAAAATTTTCATCAATGTTGGATTTATTTCATGGGATTACTTGGTTGAGAAAAGACAAATCAAGAGGATCTCTTTTCATAATTACTCTTTCTCATTTACTTTCTTACTCATGTTATCTCAGGATAAAATTTTCATAAGATACTTGTCTTAATTTCTGAAGCTAACCGGTATATTAGAAATTGTGTATCTGTCCTCCTGTCCTCAGTAACTTCACTGAAAGGTCCAAGTGCTTCTGGTTCTGAGTGTGCAGGCATTATGCTTTAAACTTATACCTCACACTGAGTTACCCAATCACATATCTCAAGGGGATGAATAAAAATTGCCTCATTAGTCCAGTTATCTACTACACTTTTATTCTAATTTCAAAGATGCCTAATATGGTAAGCATGTAGATTCCAAGTGACTTGTTCTCTTACTCTGGGGAACAGACTGTGAAATTCCATTCTATCTATTGCATCACTCAGATTTCAAAGATGTGGCATAAAAATAGATGTGGTAATATTCTCCTCTACCACATAGTACTGCAACTGTAATATCTATCCTAAGTGCGTGGGGCTACAGTCATGAAATGAACTCTCTGAAGCTGTGATTAAAAACTAAAATCTCTATTCTTTCTGTGTTTTTCAGGTATCTCCAGTGCTCAACTAAATTAATGAAATATATATTAAACACCTTTTCACACACACACACAGACACACACACACATATCATCAATTTACATTTTGTCTTTTAAACCAGATAGAAAAAAATAGGTATATAATTGAAGAATAAGTAGATGTTTATGATATATAAATACTTTCTTTTTAAGATTAAGTTGTTTGGCTAACATATGTACTCAAGATAGTAAGCCCTTCTACAAAATAAATTTGATAATAGAGTTTGTATCTATGTGTTTACTTTGACCTGATGCTTGATTCAACATATTACAAAAACAATTAATTTTATCAAATCCAACTTGCAAATTTGGATGGAAGGCTGTCTGTGCATTTAGAGAAGTAACATTAAAAATAATATTACTTGTCAGCAGAGGGTCTTCTTCAAGCAGCTGATGGGAGCAGATGCAGAGACACACAGCTAGACATTGGGAGGAGAGAGAAATCTCCGTTGAGTCTGTACTCTTGAAGCTTGGGAAACACCCTGAAGAAGGAAAGAATTTTAGGAGCCAAAGGGTTCAAGGACACTAGGAGTGTATGGCCCACAGAACCAAAGAAGTGGGGCTTCTAGGGACTCACAAAGACTGAAGGTGAAATCAGAGAACATGACTTTGCTCAGGTCCTCTGATAATATATTATGGTTTTAGTTTGGATGTTTTTTGGGAACTCAGAGCAGAGGAAATGTGGGTGTCTTCAAATATTTTAACCTGCTCATGGTATCCTTTTCCTCGTACTGGGTTGCCTTGCCCAGTCCTGAGAAGAGGGTGTTTGGCTAGAATCCATAGATGTTATTGTGCCTTGCTTTGCTGATATTCCTAGGAAGCCAGCTTTTTGTAAGGGACACCAGAGGAGAAGCAGATCTTCTCAAAAGGCAAGATAGGGGGGTGGGAACTGGGAAGAGGGAAGAAGGAGAAATGACAGTCAGGATATTGAATAAAGGAATAAAGAAAAAAAAATAAAATATTCCCATAAAAGATATTACTCAAGGCAATTACATCAATGTTTTTCTTACGTTTTTGATAATTTGATAGCATTCCACTTTTACAATGAACTTTTACATGTTTAGTGTGTCTTTATTTCATAATTGTAGCTAGTGATATATTCATATCTTGTAAACACTTCTACATAAAGCTCTTTCATTTGAGACATATGGATTAATAACTGCTTACAGCCTAGGACCATTATTAATGACCAAAAACATTTGACAGGATCTGAAATTATTCCAAAGTACAATATTACAACACTTGAATGAGGAATTCTGATATTCAATGTATCATTTTACTTATACAGTTTTAAACTTAATATAATTAGAACACAATTTTAAATCTCTGATAAAATCTGGTACTTGCAAAGAAAGTTCAGCATGGTAGGTGAGAAAAAAGAAAAAAAAGGATTTCAGGAGCAAAAACTCAAAACCTTTAAAAAAGAAAGCAGGTTTTAGGGGCTGGAGAGATGGCTCAGAGGTTAAGAGCATTGCTTGCTCTTCCAAAAGACCTGAGTTCAATTCCCAGCAACCACATGGTGGTTCACAACCATCTGTAATGAGATCTGGTGCCCTCTTCTGGCCTGCAGGCATACACACAGACAGAATATTGTATACATAATAAATAAATAAATAAGAAAGCAGGATTTACTATCAAGCTCATACATGTCTGTAACTCCAGTTCTCCATTTACAGCCCCTGATTGATGAGATTATAGTTATGTATCACATGCATGGTAGTGCTTTTTTAAAATAACATGAAATTTTTTATATTTGAACTCACATCAAAAATATTATAGTTATACTATATTGATTTCATATGACCCATATGTAAAAATAAAATCAATATAGTATAACTACAATGTATGGGAAAAACCAAATCTTATTCATTCAGTTCATTTAAACTTGCAGTGCTTGCTACTCCCATTTCTGAAATTGTCTTTCAATCACTCTATTACTCATTATTTTAATTCCCCAATAAATATTCAAAACACACAAAAAATATAAGGAAGCTGAGGTATTGATATGCAAAATGCAAACTGCCTGAACCTGATCCCCTCCATATATAACTAAGATAGCATTGCTTATTTAAGATGGGTTGATAAGATGTCTGCTGAAATTGAACCCCCAAATGAAAACTGTTTTCAATGGAGTCAGATAACATAGTTTATATAATTGGATCACATGAAATTCTACATATACTTCAACACACAACAGAATTAGATTAAATTCAAACTAATTAATACCTAGATATCATGAAACTCTTAATTGTGGATGAATTGGGTAATGGATGACTGAATTATTGAGTTTATATTTACTTTGTTATATTATCACATTGTAGAAATCAAAGCTAAAATCAATTATGCAATAACTAAACATGAATGTCAAGAATGAGATGACCCAAGACACCCTTCATTTCCCCATTTCTCCGGTCATAAATAGGAGGGTTCACCATTTGAAGAATTTAAACCTTGTTTTAAAATGATTAGTAAACAACTGAGGAGCTGTAGCACACAATAAAACTGATCTCATCGAGTAAGGTTTTCGGTGAGAGTTGAGACTGGCCTTGTGCCATAGCCACACTGAGGAATATCTTGCATATCACCATAGAACCTTCATCTGGCGATGGAAGGAGATAGAGACAGAGACCCACATTGGAGCACTGGTCTGAGCTCCCAAGGTCCAAATGAGGAGCAGAAGGAGAGAAAACATGAAAAAGGAAGTCAGGACCACGAGGGGTGCGTCCTCCCACTGAGATGGTGGGACTGATCTAATGGTAGCTCACCAAGGCCAGCTGGACTGGGAGTGCTGGAGCATATGATCAAACCCTACTCTCTGAATGTGGCTGGCAATGAAGGCTGACTGAGAAGCCAAGGACAACGGCACTGGTCTTTGATTCTACTGCGGGGACTGTCTTTGTGGGAGCCTGGTTTGTTTGGATGCTCACCTTCCTAGACCTGGATGGAGGGGGGATGACCTTGGACTTCCCACCGGGCGGGGAACTCTGACAGCTCTTTGGCCTGAAGAAGTAAGGGGAGGAGAGGAAGTGGGGGGAATGGGAGGCTATGGGGAAGAGGGGAGGAAGTGGAAATTTTTATGAATAAATAAATAAATAAGTAAAAAAAAAGTGTGCGTTGTCTATCTTCAAAGAACCCAGGCTGTTTTTAAAACAGGGGGTCATTTGCTGAAAACTGAAACCAAAACCTCCTCGCCAAGGGCGGCATCCACATAGTTCCTTGAATGTAGAGAGGTTAAATCAGTGCCAGTCTGGAGCTTTCAGCCCTATGTTCCAATCTCTTTAGCTTGAGAGGGTACCTTGCAGGCTACAGACAGAGAAGCCAGAATACAAACTCTCAAGGTATAGTCTGTTCTGCCTGTAAGATATGCTGAGGCAATAGTGGCTGCAGAATTTATAGCAGTGGCCAACCAATGTTTTGTTTAGTTTGAGGCCCACTCCCCAAGAGCTAGCCTGTGTGATCTACTGCCTGGATGGCTACGAACTAGAGACTGAATAGTCCAGAAACCTAGGGTAGAACCAAACAGGATTGGCAAAAAATACCAAACAAACAAACAAACAAATGATAAAATTATTCCTAATGATATTCTTCTATACTAATAGATCAAAAACTTGGCTAGCCATTATCAGAGAGACTTACTCTGGCAGCAGATGGGAGCAGGTACAGAGCTCAAGGTCAGACTTTGTGCAGGGAGATAGTCTTAATAGGAGGTCTCCATAAGATACTTCTCCTCAGAGATGAGGAAATCCAACAGACGATGAAGAGGAAAATTTATAGGAATCAGAGTGGATGATGGACAGTAGGAGTACATGGCCTATTGAATCAATGAAGCAGAGCACATGAGATGACAGAGACCAAAACAGCAAGCACAGGTCCTGCATGGTCTGCACCATATCCTCTGTGCCTAAGTTGTGGTTCTTAGTTGGTGTTTTTTTATAGGAGACATAGCATTGGGAGCAGGTGGATCGCTAACTCTTTTACATGCTCTTAAGACTCATTTTCTCTTATTAGCTTGCCTT